GTGTTTGTCGCGATGTTTTCAGGGATCAGACATGTGCAGGTTTATCGCAGATGCGGGCGAGAACGGGAATGAAAATTACAATTCTTTGTGGGAGCGATGTGTTATTGTCCCAACAACACATAAAAACAGATTTTAGAATAAGGCAACTCGCATACAGAAACAGTAAAGTTAGAGATTAAAAATGAGATTAACGTGATTAAAAACCGTAACGCACTAAATATGACTGTAATTAATTAATCACAATTAACGCGGTAATTTGACACCCCTAGTTTTTTACTTTTAGTTCAGTAAAGATTGACAGTTCCAAGGGAAAACTCATCCAAATGATTCTAGTGAAGTTACGTGGAGTTTAAAAACGCAGTGGAGCACTTCCTGTTTTACCACATGACATCACAAGGTGGAATCGACTGTTTTCTGTTTGAGAGAAGAAGAGAAGAAGAATATGGGCCCTTTAAATGTGGTTAAATATGAATGAGATGACTTCAGAACGTTGAGATTTGCAGTAGTTTTTGCAGTAGTTTTTGCAGTAGTTATAGTCAGAGGCGGTGTTACCATTAGGCAAAAGTAGACGGCTGCCCGGGGGCCCCCAACCAAATACCCTCAGTGCCACTAATGTCAGAGGCCTCAGAGCAATTTGATTTTCTCTCAATATGACATTAAATGAGAATAGTAAAATTAGAGTAAAATTATAATAATCATATGTAATGGATGTAAACAAAATCTAATTGTATTCGCAAAAAAATAAAACTACTTTCAGCTCTGGTTTTCTAGTAGGCGACCGAACTAATAAGACACATTTCCAATCCACCATAATTCAAATAAATAGAGATGTGCATGTCTCAAGAACAATGGGGAAAAAGCAGCCAGTAAATATATATTAAAATAAACAAACAAACATACAAAATAAATAAATAAAAAAAATAGTGCATTATTATAATGAGGGACTCCAAACTCAAGTTCGCCTAGGGCCCCCAAATTGCTAACTCCACCACTGGCTGTAGTGTCAGTACATCTTTGAGTTTTGCAGTAGTTTTTGCAGTATTTGTAGTGTTAGTAGATCTTTGAGTTTTGCAGTATTTTTTGAAGTATTCGTAGTGTTTTGGTGAGTGGGCACAGCTGCTCGTCTGTCAGTGGGAGGAGGTTCTTTCACACCACCTGCTCGAGTCATAACATCTGTCCTGGATCTGTTTGGGCTGAAACTGACAACAGCTGCAATAAGTAAAGAAGTGCTACTACTACTACTACTACTACTACTACTACTACTACTACTACTACTACTACTACTACTACTACTACTACTGCTACTACTACTACTACTACTACTACTACTACTACTACTACTACTACTACTACTACTACTACTACTACTACTACTACTGTACTACTACTACTACTACTACTACTACTACTACTACTACTACTACTACTACTACTACTACTACTACTACTACTACTACTACTACTACTGCTACTACTACTACTACTACTACTACTACTACTACTACTACTACTACTACTACTACTACTGCTACTACTACTACTACTACTACTACTACTACTACTACTACTACTACTACTACTACTACTACTACTACTACTACTACTACTACTGCTACTACTACTACTACTACTACTACTACTACTACTACTACTACTACTACTACTACTACTACTACTACTACTACTACTACTACTACTACTACTACTACTACTACTACTACTACTACTACTACTACTACTACTACTACTACTACTACTACTACTACTACTACTACTACTACTACTGCTACTACTACTACTACTACTACTACTACTGCTACTACTACTACTACTACTACTACTACTACTACTACTGCTACTACTACTACTACTACTACTACTACTACTACTACTACTACTACCACTACTACTACTACTACTACTACTACTACTACTGCTACTACTACTGACAACAGCTGCTAACTACTAAGTGCTACTACTGACTACTACTACTACTACTACTACTACTACTACTACTACTACTACTACTACTACTACTACTACTACTACTACTACTACTACTACTACTACTACTACTACTACTACTACTACTACTACTACTACTACTACTACTACTACTACTACTACTACTACTACTACTACTACTACTACTACTGCTACTACTACTATTACTACTACTACTACTACTGACAACAGCTGCTATAAGTAACCAACAACAACTACTATTACTACTACTACTACTGCTACAACTACTACTAACTACTACTGCTACAACTACTACTACTACTATTACTACTAAACACTACTACTACTGCTACTGCTACTACTACTACTACTACTACTACTACTACTACTATTACTACTACTGTTACTACTACTGCTACTACTGTCAACAGCTACTATAAGTAACCAAGACAATAACTACTACTACTACTACTACTACTACTACTACTACTACTACTGCTACTGCTACTGCTTTTACTACTACTACTACTGACAACAGCTGCTACAAGTAACCAAGATAATTACTACTACTAGTAGTACTACTACTACTACTACTACACAAGATGCTTCATTCTAGTCTAGAGGAAGTTTATTTTAAAATATTGTGTAAATTAACATTATTTATTTATATTGGACAGATAATTTCACTACTTTTAAGTCATTTTCTGGTCGACTTGTGCTTATATCTTAGATTCTGGCTATGCTTTTTTGCAGTGTACTAGCTAGCTGCTTGACTGTACTGAGATGCTTCTCTTCACATCACGCTAATAGGCTAACATCGACCTACAGTGTCAGTTTCCCCAGACGCAAGTAACTCCTCAGCAAAAAACTTCAGGAGATAAGAAAATCTACGATGTCTTTATTTTAGCGCAGGCAGCTTACAGAACTCAATTCAAATGATTACAGGATTTCGGTCACCAGCGTCTCTGACTGACAGCAGAATAGACAGCTCTTATACATGACATCTTGTTGAAATATTAACTTATTGATTAGCTCACTTAAACAAGAAAGTCCACATACATACATATTTGATAAAACTTGTTTTGAAGGACATTTTGCAGACATATTGATCAGGCTACCAGGTTCACATACGCCCCCCTTTGGACCTTGGTTTGGGGCAGCAACCAAAAGAAAACATAACAAGAAACATTTTGATATGATTCAATTAACAGTAAAGCATCAACACAAGAAAATAAACCCACAATCTCCCCTATTTGATCACATTAAACATGTGATCACTCAACCAATATGGAGAAGCAAGGCGCTACCTCCACCTACAATTTATCCAAATTTAAAAACCCCATGTGTGAGTAAATATCATTTTAGCCTTAGCTTTTTGATTTCAACATATCTCAAGTTTTACTAACATAACACACTGAATAGCATAATACATAATCAATACATGACTCTCGGACAGCGGAAGAGACAAGGAGCACTTACTTAGAAGCTGTTTTAATCTCTTATTTAAATCAATGATTTAATCTGTAGGGTTTTAATCAAACCCAGTCATCTGGTTCGGGACGTGAAAGTTGAGAATCAGTAGAGAGTAATAAAATTTGAGTAACAGGAGCATTTCGTGTAAGGGCAGAAGTAATCAAACGCTCTACCAGCGATCTCATACACGGAATGATGCAACATCCAATTACGACTAATACTGCCATTATAATCAAAAATAGTAGTAACAAGAGATACTATAGTAGCCGTCCAAGGGCCAAATATTTTATAGAGCCAGTTAAACCAAGTATTTTCAGGTACACCAGAGTTCTTAACCAGTTCTGCTGATAATGATTTGAGTTTGGCTAAAGCTTTGGTAATACTCCCATCAGGAGAAGTGTTATTTGGTATGTAGGTGCAGCATTCTGCCCCAAACATACTACATACTGATGATTCTTTGGCAAGTATCATATCAAGGGCGATTCGATTCTGCCAGGCCATGAGTGAAGTTGGGCCCAATTGTTCTACAATGCCTTCTAGTGCCTCAATCGTATAGTTTATGAATCTTTGTTGATTATAGTAGAGGTAATTTATCCAGATAGCATTTTTAGTTGCCATTACTGCAGGAAATAAAGCTGCGGTGAACCCAGCCACAATTTCGTGTTGTGCTTTGAATTCGTCTGGGATACCTACTGGGGTTCCTATAGCGCTTATATAAATATCATCATTAAAAGATCCTTTAAGTTTGGGTCTAACCCGGTGAGAGGACCTTTTGGACACATGGTTATATTTTAAGTTAAATCTGTGTGACAATTTAGTCGGTTTTAGACTCATAACTGAATTTGCAGGGCCAATAGTAAATGGAACAAATAACATAATCGGTGCACAAATGCCTGACCACGTCTTTGGTAGAATGGCATATAAGCGTAAATCTGCACATAACCACCAAATATCAGCACGGGCAATAGAGTGGTTGGTTAAAAGGACAAAATCTTTATAATTATCAGAAGACAAAGTCTGATTACAGAAATTGTCTGAGAAACTCTCTATTTCAATCTTGTCAGCCTTTTTTGTACCCGTATTTATAACAGTATCTCTAAGGAAGCAGGTATATCTAGCAATTCCCATCGTCCAAGATGTAGGTACATCTTTTGAAGTTACTACTGGTAGTTTGTGATGGAGGTGATAACATTCATCAGTTTTATCAAACGATTTTCTAGTAAAGAGTCTAAGGATACAGGTCAGGTCTGTTTCATTAGAATATGGTAAGGATGTAGTGGTTAACCTAGGTCTGGCCGCAGAACATACAATACAATCTTCTGTAGTCACAGTATGGGCAGTATACTGCACCCATTTTAACCACGTGTTTTCATTCAAATCTTGTCCTGTTTCGATTTTTATTGCTTCAGTTAGGGAAATTAAATCATTTTCTGAAGCAGGCTTATTAGTCTTTAAAATTGTTATTTGTATGTATCCTTCGAAATTTAACTTTATTTTCCTATTACATGGCACAGAAGGGATTTTAGAACACAGGAACCCTATAGAATATATATACCAGCGTCATTAAATATTGAATTTTGAATTGATAATAACAAAGGATTACATCGTTGTGTAATTGATTTACGCCCTCTACAATGTTTTAAGTCTGCTTGGAAAGCTGCATCATCTTTCCTGTTTTTTGTTAGAGTAATTCTCTGTTGTAAATCAGTTTTGAAAGTATTTTCTGTTTCGTGTTGCTCATCAGTACTGGCTATAACTCTGGCAAACCCTATTGAATTACCATTTTTTCCTGTCAGACAAGTATCTTTGCAAAGAACTTGTACATTGAATACGTGATCTATAGCTGGGATATTTAACATGCAGTCGAAAACTTCGCATGCGTCAAATAGGATATTGCAAGTTTGTCCCTCATAACAAAATTTCGCAAGTTTTGGTGTTTCTCTTTTTAATCTGTTCAGTGCTCCTTGACCCTTACCCGTATTGTTGGTCGCCAGCTCAGTTGTTTCTTTGATTGTTGGCTGTGGCTGTCCGAGGTCAGTTCCAAGGCTTCTATGGATAGGTACTATAAAGCAGATACAACAGATAAAGATTAGCATAATCAAAGATAGACACTGAGAATTTCTCAAAAAGCATGGCCTATACTCCCCTTCTATGTTTTCTCCCCTTTTTCTCCTCCTCCTCTGGAGCCTCAGTGGTGGACGGTGGACAGGGTTGTTTCTTAGGTTCTCTGGTTCCAGCAGTGTCCGGATTTCGTTGGTTTTCCCCATCTTCATCCTGGATGGTAGATGTAGCGGCAATGTCAGTTTGGATTTGGGTTAGACTTCGATCATTTGGGTCTACTGGTGACTTGAAGCAGTGCGATAAATGGTACCACACTTTAGATGTTCCCTTTTCAACTTGTACAGATCTCCCAGTGGACTGGATGACTTTATACGGACCAGTTTGATATGGCTGTGTCCAGTTGTTCCGTTTGTGTACCTTTACGTACACCCAAGATCCTGGTGAGACGGTTATATCTGGATTGGCTCTGACCTGTAAGTCATGCGTTCTTTGTCGACATTTATGCAGCTGCATCACTATTTCTTGAAGCTGTTGGACATATGCGTGATGTTGTTTGTCCCAGTCTATGAATGGTGCATCTTCAGTGAATGGGCCTTCAGGTTTATGCATTTCTCTTCCAGTCAGTAGTAGATGAGGAGAATATGATGTAGTTTTATTTACACTGTTTCTGATGTCCATCAGGACGAACGGTAGGGCAGTGACCCAATCAAGTTTTGTAGTTTTCCAGACCTTTGCAAGTTTTCTCTTGACAGTTGCATTCATTCGTTCACAGACTCCTTGGCTGGCGGCGTGATAGACAGTTCCAAAGCGCTGGGTGATGTTAAGAGCCTTTAGCACATCACGGACTATTTTGGCGGTGAAATGTGTCCCATTGTCAGATCTTATGACATCTGGAATGCCAAAACGTGGAAAAACATCAGTAGTTAAATGTTTGACGACTTCCTTTGCAGTTTCTGTCTTACAGGGGAATGCTTCAACCCATTTGGTGTACTCACAGACTATAACCAACAGGTAACGGTATCCTCGGACTCTCATCTCAGGACCCATGTCTGTGAAATCCATGACGATTCTTTCAAAAGGCTTATTTGGGAGAGCATAAGTTCCTGGAGGTGGCTTGCAAGACTTCTTCGGGTTCATAGTCTGACAAACGTGACACTCGTCTATCCAATATTGCATAATCGGCTTCAAATGAGGATGCCACCATAAATCAATATGTTTCGAGATGGCTTCATAACTTCGATGAGTTGGGGTGTGGTATTCTTCAAAGAGCATTCGAAGCAACGGTGTTGGAGCCAGAATGCGTCCTTCATGATTTCTCCAAATTCCTGTAGCATCTTTTGTAGCACCACGTTGTTTCCAGGCGCTCTGTTCGTAGACTCCAGCTGCTTCTTGAATTTCCTTTATGTATGTTGCATCTATTACATTTGCATCGGGTAGCATCTCAACGTTTCCATCAACATGGACAAGCATGTTTCTTGCATCATAATTTGCAGCTTTCTTCGCAGCTTGGTCTGCCGCTTGATTTCCCAGGGAAATAGAGTCTGTTCCCTTTGTGTGAGCTTTGCATTTCATGATGGCAAGTCTTGATGGCAGTTGAACAGCGTCTATGAGTTGTTTAATCAGTTGTTCATGCTTAATTGGGAGGCCGGTCATAAGTTTGAAGCCATTTCTGATCCAACCGGCCAAGGACAATGTGACAGTCTTGTAGGCATAAATTGAATCTGTATAGATATTTACTGCTTTGCCTTCTGAAAGTTGCAGTGCACGTAACATCGCCGTAAGCTCAGCTACTTGTGCAGATCCTTTCGTTATCTGTTGGGCTTCCATCAGACGATATTGGTTGGAGGGCAGTTGTTCCACCACTGCATACGATGATATGACATGGCCTTCTTTTGCTCTGTAGGAACAGCCATCACAGAAAATAGTCATGTCTGGATTTGAAAGTGGAGTAGTATGCAAATCTGCTCTCACATACAGTTCAGTTTTGACTTTTTCTTCACACACGTGTGGAATTCCTTCAGTCTCCATATTTGTTGCCATATTGATGTTTCCTCCTTCATAAGTAATGTGGGGCTGTTGCAGAGTTTTTGAAATGTTGCTGGATCTTCGTGCAGTGGTAATGAACAGACGAGAGTTGAGATAAGCAAGTATTCCATGTTGAGTGTGTATCACCAGTGGATGATTTTGCACAATATGTGAGGTCTTCTCAATTGTCCTTGTCAAAGCAGCCAGGTAACGAGCACAACCAGGTTGAGTCTGTTCGTGTGGATCCAACTTGCAGGAGTAATGTTTCAACACTCTTCGACTTTGATGATGTTTTTGATAAAGAACAGCTTGGACAAATGATTGTTTCTCCGTCACATCCAGGTGAAAAGGAATATCATAATTTGGAGCGCATAAGCTACAGGCGGTACAAATAGCTTGTTTTGTCTTGATAAATGCCTCCTCTGCTTCTGCCGTCCAGAATAATTCAGCTGAAAGATTATGCATACCATGTGGCTTAATGAGCTCTCTGAGAGGCGTGGTGAGTTCGGTGTAGCCAGGGACATACTCTCGAGAGAAATTACAGAGTCCCAGAAAACTGAGCATTTGACGTACTGTGACTGGTTTTGGAGCATTCAAGATGGCGTCTTTGTTACTGTCGGTCACTCCTTGTGCACCGTTTGATACTTCCCGTCCAAGGAAGTGCACTGTTTGTCTTGCAACTTGCATCTTCTGCCTTTTGACCTTGTACCCTTTCTTTGAGAGATGTGTAAGCAATTGTACTGTTGCTTTTAGGACGTCTTTTGCCGTTTTTTCCAGCGATGAGGATGTCATCCACGTAAGTGATTAGGGTACACGACTCTGGGAAATCCAAATCTGCCAGATCTTTTCTTAAGAAGTTGCTGAAGAACCCGGGACTGTGCTTCCAACCCATGGGCATTCTTCTGTATGAATAAACTTTGTTTCCGTGTCTGAAGGCAAAGTATTTCTGGGATGAGGCGTCCAAGTTGATAGTAAAAAATGCATTGGCCAGATCGATCACAGTATAAAAACAATGTTCTGGAGAAAGATTATTTAAAGTTAGATATGGATCTGGCACTGGATATGATTCTCCTGCTGTTATCTCGTTGAGTGGACGAAAATCTTGGACCATCCTCCAGTTTTGCAGATCTGATTTCTTCACTGGAAAAAGTGGTGTGTTATAGTCTGATTCTGTTTCATATATCACTCCAGATTCTAGTAATCCGTTGATAGTCTCTTGAATCCCAGCTACTTGGTCTTCTCTAAGTGGATATTGAGGATGATATATATTGGTTTGTCGGTGGTAAGTTGCACTTTAACGGTATGCCTTGTCTGACCCACATCGTTCGGGTGTGTCATCCAGATGTTTGATGGTACTTGTGCAAGGTACTTCTCAGTATCCGGATGGTTTTCAGAAGTTCGTTGTCTAGTTTGTTTGGATGTTCTTGTGTTATCTTCAGAACCTTGGGGTAGTACCACTCTGAACATCTGGTGTTGTGAGTTGTAGAAAACACCTTCGACTTCAGTGGCCTCATATTGTAGACTTGAGGCGAGCTTGACCATCGGGCCAAGTTGTCTTGATGTGTGATGTCTTGAGATAGCGAGCGTCACGTGAGGTGATCCTTCTTCACTCCCCATGAAATATGGTTTCAACTCTTCTGGGAGGGAGACTGCAAGTGCCATACCTTGGGGGCCCAGATTGATTTTCCTTATAAGATTATGCAGTTTAGATCTGTACTGTTTGATTGTCTTTGTTAACTCTTGATGAACTTCCATTGTTTGTGGGCTATTCTTTTCCCCATGTCTTCCATATTTTCTTGAGGACACACAAATAGACGTGTGGTTCTTCGGTTAGCTTCTTCTTTCAGCTTTTTAATCCAGAACTCTTTAAGCTGTTTTAATGATATAAATTGGGACATTGTGATATTTTTAGTGTTATTTTTTCAGCTACTATTTATTACAAATTGGATATTGTAAAAAAATTTTTTTTTTTTTTTTTTTTTGTAGGGCGGGTTATTATCTAGTCTTATTATTATTTTTTCTGTCTGTTCTTTCCTTTTTTTTTTTTAATAGTAAATTGTTTTAGAATAATTTGCTTCCTTGCGATTCCTCTTCTTTAGTTTCTCTTTTGTGAATTATCTAACTTCCACAGTCTACCTGTAGGCACTAGGGGCTATTTGATCTCGAAGGGCCGATTTCTAAAAAGAAAAACAAGTTTAATTCAGATAATATTTGAAGTACAGCTTTGATTAGGATTATGTATTTACAATTTATTTTTGACAATTCTAGCATTGTCCTCTAATAGCAGTTTTATTTTGCAACCCTTAAAGGTTGTATGGAGGATTTTTTTTGTTTCAAATTGTCAATGATAGATTATAGAGATGCAGTCGCCTTGTAATTATGATGACCAAAAAAAAGAGAATAAAAATTCATCAACTCTGGACGTGGTGGGGCTAAACATTTGCCAATAGATAACGACACTGCCTCGTTATCTGTGAGCTGACAGGCTGTCAATCAAACTCCCTACGTTTCTAGTGTAACTGACTTGCCTGCGCCGCCGTTACGTGGTTTACGTACGACTGTCACGCAGTCCACAGACGCAAGACGCACAGACGCTGTTTACTCCACCAACGCAACAGTTCTTAGCGGCTTTTTTGACCTATATCTTCCTCGCAGTTCGCACAAAGTTTGTTGCAATGACAGACAAGAATCCAGGAGCAGTTCGCCCCAAAAGAAAGTCCGTTTTTGAGGTCGCTGAAAGAAGAAGACAAGGGGAAAAGCAGCGAAGCCAAACTAAGGTGATTCTTGAAGATTCATTCCAGCGATGGCGCGACTGAAGCAGACGCAGGGTCTAAAGACTGAACCACTGGTCCACAAATTACTCCTGGACAGGAAACTTCTGCTTATTATGAAAACGTACTTTATTTCCAAGAGCGAGTCAAACGTTTTTCAGGACACGAAAGCGATATCCTATGTCTGAAAACGTAATTTTCAAGGCAAAGAAAGAGTCCGCTTGCTGCTGCATGTTGTAGCTAGTTCATTCGCACGGAATCTCCGCGCNAACCCAGTCATCTGGTTCGGGACGTGAAAGTTGAGAATCAGTAGAGAGTAATAAAATTTGAGTAACAGGAGCATTTCGTGTAAGGGCAGAAGTAATCAAACGCTCTACCAGCGATCTCATACACGGAATGATGCAACATCCAATTACGACTAATACTGCCATTATAATCAAAATAGTAGTAACAAGAGATACTATAGTAGCCGTCCAAGGGCCAAATATTTTATAGAGCCAGTTAAACCAAGTATTTTCAGGTACGCCAGAGTTCTTAACCAGTTCTGCTGATAATGATTTGAGTTTGGCTAAAGCTTTGGTAATACTCCCATCAGGAGAAGTGTTGTTTGGTATGTAGGTGCAGCATTCTGCCCCAAACATACTACATACTGATGATTCTTTGGCAAGTATCATATCAAGGGCGATTCGATTCTGCCAGGCCATGAGTGAAGTTGGGCCCAATTGTTCTACAATGCCTTCTAGTGCCTCAATCGTATAGTTTATGAATCTTTGTTGATTATAGTAGAGGTAATTTATCCAGATAGCATTTTTTAGTTGCCATTACTGCAGGAAATAAAGCTGCGGTGAACCCAGCCACAATTTCGTGTTGTGCTTTGAATTCGTCTGGGATACCTACTGGGGTTCCTATAGCGCTTATATAAATATCATCATTAAAAGATCCTTTAAGTTTGGGTCTAACCCGGTGAGAGGACCTTTTGGACACATGGTTATATTTTAAGTTAAATCTGTGTGACAATTTAGTCGGTTTTAGACTCATAACTGAATTTGCAGGGCCAATAGTAAATGGAACAAATAACATAATCGGTGCACAAATGCCTGACCACGTCTTTGGTAGAATGGCATATAAGCGTAAATCTGCACATAACCACCAAATATCAGCACGGGCAATAGAGTGGTTGGTTAAAAGGACAAAATCTTTATAATTATCAGAAGACAAAGTCTGATTACAGAAATTGTCTGAGAAACTCTCTCTATTTCAAATCTTGTCAGCCTTTTTTGTACCCGTATTTATAACAGTATCTCTAAGGAAGCAGGTATATATCTAGCAATTCCCATCGTCCAAGATGTAGGTACATCTTTTGAAGTTACTACTGGTAGTTTGTGATGGAGGTGATAACATTCATCAGTTTTATCAAACGATTTTCTAGTAAAGAGTCTAAGGATACAGGTCAGGTCTGTTTCATTAGAATATGGTAAGGATGTAGTGGTTAACCTAGGTCTGGCCGCAGAACATACAATACAATCTTCTGTAGTCACAGTATGGGCAGTATACTGCACCCATTTTAACCACGTGTTTTCATTCAAATCTTGTCCTGTTTCGATTTTTATTGCTTCAGTTAGGGAAATTAAATCATTTTCTGAAGCAGGCTTATTAGTCTTTAAAATTGTTATTTGTATGTATCCTTCGAAATTTAACTTTATTTTCCTATTACATGGCACAGAAGGGATTTTAGAACACAGGAACCCTATAGAATATATACCAGCGTCATTAAATATTGAATTTTGAATTGATAATAACAAAGGATTACATCGTTGTGTAATTGATTTACGCCCTCTACAATGTTTTAAGTCTGCTTGGAAAGCTGCATCATCTTTCCTGTTTTTTGTTAGAGTAATTCTCTGTTGTAAATCAGTTTTTGAAAGTATTTTCTGTTTCGTGTTGCTCATCAGTACTGGCTATAACTCTGGCAAACCCTATTGAATTACCATTTTTTCCTGTCAGACAAGTATCTTTGCAAAGAACTTGTACATTGAATACGTGATCTATAGCTGGGATATTTAACATGCAGTCGAAAACTTCGCATGCGTCAAATAGGATATTGCAAGTTTGTCCCTCATAACAAAATTTCGCAAGTTTTGGTGTTTCTCTTTTTTAATCTGTTCAGTGCTCCTTGACCCTTACCCGTATTGTTGGTCGCCAGCTCAGTTGTTTCTTTGATTGTTGGCTGTGGCTGTCCGAGGTCAGTTCCAAGGCTTCTATGGATAGGTACTATAAAGCAGATACAACAGATAAAGATTAGCATAATCAAAGATAGACACTGAGAATTTCTCAAAAAGCATGGCCTATACTCCCCTTCTATGTTTTCTCCCCTTTTTCTCCTCCTCCTCTGGAGCCTCAGTGGTGGACGGTGGACAGGGTTGTTTCTTAGGTTCTCTGGTTCCAGCAGTGTCCGGATTTCGTTGGTTTTCCCCATCTTCATCCTGGATGGTAGATGTAGCGGCAATGTCAGTTTGGATTTGGGTTAGACTTCGATCATTTGGGTCTACTGGTGACTTGAAGCAGTGCGATAAATGGTACCACACTTTAGATGTTCCCTTTTCAACTTGTACAGATCTCCCAGTGGACTGGATGACTTTATACGGACCAGTTTGATATGGCTGTGTCCAGTTGTTCCGTTTGTGTACCTTTACGTACACCCAAGATCCTGGTGAGACGGTTATATCTGGATTGGCTCTGACCTGTAAGTCATGCGTTCTTTGTCTACATTTATGCAGCTGCATCACTATTTCTTGAAGCTGTTGGACATATGCGTGATGTTGTTTGTCCCAGTCTATGAATGGTGCATCTTCAGTGAATGGGCCTTCAGGTTTATGCATTTCTCTTCCAGTCAGTAGTAGATGAGGAGAATATGATGTAGTTTTATTTACACTGTTTCTGATGTCCATCAGGACGAACGGTAGGGCAGTGACCCAATCAAGTTTTGTAGTTTTCCAGACCTTTGCAAGTTTTCTCTTGACAGTTGCATTCATTCGTTCACAGACTCCTTGGCTGGCGGCGTGATAGACAGTTCCAAAGCGCTGGGTGATGTTAAGAGCCTTTAGCACATCACGGACTATTTTGGCGGTGAAATGTGTCCCATTGTCAGATCTTATGACATCTGGAATGCCAAAACGTGGAAAAACATCAGTAGTTAAATGTTTGACGACTTCCTTTGCAGTTTCTGTCTTACAGGGGAATGCTTCAACCCATTTGGTGTACTCACAGACTATAACCAACAGGTAACGGTATCCTCGGACTCTCATCTCAGGACCCATGTCTGTGAAATCCATGACGATTCTTTCAAAAGGCTTATTTGGGAGAGCATAAGTTCCTGGAGGTGGCTTGCAAGACTTCTTCGGGTTCATAGTCTGACAAACGTGACACTCGTCTATCCAATATTGCATAATCGGCTTCAAATGAGGATGCCACCATAAATCAATATGTTTCGAGATGGCTTCATAACTTCGATGAGTTGGGGTGTGGTATTCTTCAAAGAGCATTCGAAGCAACGGTGTTGGAGCCAGAATGCGTCCTTCATGATTTCTCCAAATTCCTGTAGCATCTTTTGTAGCACCACGTTGTTTCCAGGCGCTCTGTTCGTAGACTCCAGCTGCTTCTTGAATTTCCTTTATGTATGTTGCATCTATTACATTTGCATCGGGTAGCATCTCAACGTTTCCATCAACATGGACAAGCATGTTTCTTGCATCATAATTTGCAGCTTTCTTCGCAGCTTGGTCTGCCGCTTGATTTCCCAGGGAAATAGAGTCTGTTCCCTTTGTGTGAGCTTTGCATTTCATGATGGCAAGTCTTGATGGCAGTTGAACAGCGTCTATGAGT